TTGTGTGCGAGTTGCCGTGGGCAACAGAAATGGGGAACCAGACCCTTGGCTCTCAATGTTGATCACGTGCCATTAAAATATAGGAGGGAGAGAAGTGTGAGGCTCGTTCAACCCTCGTAAGACACGTAATACTTGGTATTGTCCATGAAACTGAATAAAGATCAATGCACAGAATAGTTGATAGAAAAAAAGTATTTTGGACACATTTCTTTTTAATCAGAAAGCTTTTCTCACTGAGCCATCTGGATTTATAAAGGAAATCAGCCCTTCTGAATAAGGGGGTTTCCCAGAGAACTCTAGGTTTGCCTTTTATTTAAGTTAACAAAGTATGTAATGGTTAACTCTTTTGGGTGTAGCTCTGCCTTCTTCAACAGAATACGTGGAAATTAAATATTTCTTCATACCTCCTATCATTATTCCACAGTGCACGTATGTGACATATATAGTACATGCTAATGAGGAATTGGTGCTGTTGGCCAATATTCTTAATGACCCCTGTCATGTTGGATTTTTAAAACTCTGCTCTTGCCCTGGCCGGTGGCTCAGTTGGCTGGAGTGTCTTCTGGTACACCAAACGGTCGTGGGCTTGATTCTCTGTCAGGGCACATACCTAGGTTGCAGGTTCGACCCCCAGTCAGGTTGCACGCAGGAGGCAACCAATCCAAGTTCTCTCTCACATCCATGTCTCTATCACCCTCTTCCTCTCTCTCTCAAAATCAATTTAAAAATAAACAGATCCTTGGGTGAGGATTAAAAAAAATTGTTTTAAAATCTGATCTTTGTAGTTTGTGCCTTCCTTTTCTGCCTGAGACTCTACCCCTCTTGGACAGTAATATGCGCCTTCTGACATTATGTGGATCTGGAATGAGAAGAAGCTTATTTAAATAATATATAATTGAAAAGTACATGGGGCCCAGTTGGCGCGTGGCGGCTGCTCTGATGAGGAAGGGTAGTTTGTGCTGTTTGTGGGGATGAACTTGCCAGCACTGAGATAGCTTGAGGCTCTGCCACGCTCTCGCCTTCAGCTGTGTTCTTTGGAACCGAAGCTGCCAGGTTCACAGACAGCCAGGTGAGGGGGGCGGTTCTGCCAAAGCTGTCCGTGCACTGCAGGAAGCTGCTTTGTTCTTTTTGACAGACTGAGGAGAAAGGTGTGGTGGAGAGAACATATGCTCAGGGCTCAAAAGCTAATCCTGCCACCTGTGGGGGGTGACCTCAGGCATGTTGCTTAACCTCACCCAGCCCCCATTTCCTTATCTGTAAGTGATGATTACATGACACTGTACATGTCAAGTACTTGCCAGGGCCTGGCACACCCGTGCTTGGCGGACACTGCTTTTCTTTCCCCCTCACCCGCTTCTTGCAGACAAGGCCTCCTCGGAATCAGCGAGGCTGTGACCCACAGGGAGCCAGGAGGCCTGGGTTCTCTCGGGGGGTCACCTGGGATCTGCCCCCTGATGACCGTATGCCTCCGCCTCCTCTGAAACTACGGCCGGACTAGCTCCGTCCTGCTTGCTTCCTGCTCTGGAAGGAGGCACGTCTCGCCTGACATACATGACATTGCGCAAGGCGGGAGTTCACACCCTGACATCACAGGCTTTTGTCAGTTTGCCCTGCGGCAGGGCTGAAACTTCGACAGTTGGCGTGAGGTGTGCAGTGTGCTGCTGTAAGGCGAACTTCGCAATTCAAACCTGCCTCTGTTCACCTCACAGGCACCTCTCCTCGGATTTCATGTCATAACTTTAGAACATTTGCAGTTCCTGTTCCTGGCTCGTCACATTTGGGTGGAGGATGAAGGAAGGGTTTTTTTATTCCAATCTTTGAACCTTCTTCACCATTTCTGAGCAAGGACATGATACTACATGACACCAAGGCGCTGGGGGAGGTCTTGACATCTTCCTACAGCCCCGCTCCGGGGCCCCACGGAGGAGCGCGTCCCTCTCACATGCGTCCTCCCTGGGGAAGGTGTGGGCTGGCAAAGCATCAGCTTCATAGACTCTCCTGTTAGAGCTGATGGAGCAGGAACGACACCCTTTCTCTTCACTTCTGAGTCAAACCTAGAAAGCTCTCACGCCTCAGAGTCAGTGCTAGTTCTCCCTCCATCTTGAAACCTTTGGGCTTCTGGTTCCATCTGGTTAGTGGGATATTTTGTCAAGACTGGTGTTTGGTCCAGGAGAGAGAACATCATGGGTTTCAGCTGGGGGAGGCGGTCGCCTTGTGCCTCCTGGGAATCCACTGTCCAGAGGGCCCACCCTCGGGAGTGACTCCCGCTGGAGGAGCCTGAGCTCTGACACACACAGAGGGCTCCCTGGCTCCCTTTGAAGTGGGCGTCTAATTGCGGCTTTGATTGCACAGATTTCACTGGTGGGTTGGGCTGCGCCGGGGCTCGCCTGGCCTGGCCCAGCCCCCAGTGGAGCCTTAGATGTGGGAAGTCTCTAGTCTCCCAGCACCATGCCTGTGGTTTCTTGAAAAGACTCTTGATTTGACCAGTGTTATATCAGTGAAGCAACCCTGTCAGCCCCCATTGGTCCCACTTGGAGGTAAGACTTGGTCTGCCCTGACAGCCCTGTGTTTATAGGAGCAACCAGGTTCGGACCGCCATACCGGAGAGTTGAGGCAGTTTCTTTGCCCGTGTACTTAATGTTCGTGCCTCTGTTAGGAAAGTGTCCCGGTGGGGGCGAGCTGCTTTTTGTCCGTTGTACAGAGGACTCTGAAGCCAGCTTTCCCAGAGGAATTGAGGGAGGACACAGAATGAATCAGCGGCGGGGAAGCGTGTGGCTACCTGGGGAAGAAACGGCTTCGTCAGATGCCGACATTCCTTCGGGAGGTGCACGTCACCCCTGTGGTGGACGGCCCCCCGGACAGCCAGGCTTGTTCTGACACTTGTGTTAGTGCTGTGCTCAGCTCAGGAGGAGAGGAGGCGGCCCACTGGGGTGAGGTCAGAGGGGAAAGGGCGCCTCAGAGAGCCGAAGTGGGGGTGCTATAGACTGGCAGGTGTCCAGCCCTGCTCAAGGAGTAGGGCCACCGCAGGGCCGCGGAGGTCTGGACCTCATGACCTCATAGTCAGACTGTGGCTGGGATGAGGGACGGATCCCAACAGAGGGACAGTGTGTCTCCTTCAGCCTGCAGATGACCTGAGGCCGGCTCATCTGCCGCGGCACGAGCCTGGCCCAGTGCTGGGGTTCTTATTGCAGCATCAAGAAGGGTTCAGCAATCTGGAGAAGGCTGTGCGTAGATTGAGGAGGAGTCCAGAGACCAAACATAATTTTGAAAGGCATTTGGGGGTCAGAGGAGCTTAGCTAAAGGAGCTAAGTTCTAAGATCTCGAGTCTTAGGTCTCCTCGTCCCCGGACCCCATGCTTTTTATTAACACAATTTGTCCTGAGGCGAGGCAGAGATATACACTTCAAAGGGTCAGGGTTTGGTACAGAGTCCATTGTCGGAAATGGAAGAATTAGCCTACGGCTGTTCAGGTGTTTGGCCAGTAGGAGGCAATGACATGTAGATTAAGATGCCCTGAGCTGTCTGGCAGCCACAATCAATTTAATGTATCCTATTCAGGTTTGGAGAAATGCCTTCAGCCATTCCCAGATGCAGCCCTGCTGTCATGCTGGAATTGGTCTCCGGCAGCCCAGGGCTGCAGGCCGTCCGCACACATTAGAAAACCACAAGGCGGCAGTGTTTTCCTGTCACAGGGGAAAGGGGCGTTTGGCAGGAGGACAGGCATGGACATTGTCCTCAGTGGACAGCACTCTGTGGCTAACTGCCCTCTGTTTGGTCGCTTTCTATTTTCAGTAACTACCCAGATACACAGATAGTTTCTGCGCAGTTTCAATGAGTCCTTTTGAGGCCGGTCATCCCGGGAGCAGCTGGTGTTCCCCGGGCTCACCGTGCACCAGGCTCACAGGCCTGCACCTCAGGCGCTGGCCTCGCCTGCCCTCCCGGTCCCCACTCCACGGAGCACTCTCCTTCCGTGAACAGCACTTGACAGACTGCAAACCTCCCACCCCAAGTTCAGTTTTCATTATGAAACTATTTCAAAGCTTCCTTCTATTTCTCCTCTAAGTCTCTCTCCACTCAAAAAGCATCAAGAAATTCACTATTAGAATTAATTTTTTGAAGAAAACTTCTTCTGGTAACAAGGACAGCACAAACACGAATATTGGGATTCATCTGCGATGGCCAGGGACCCAGGTCGTCTGCCTGGGGTGGCCCCCCCAGGTTCCTTCCCGGGTGAAGGAACCAAACTTCGGCATGCTTTCACTTTCCCTGCATCTTTGTCTCATCCTGGTACAGTGTTTATATTTTATTTTTAGTTGCTTTAAAAAATCTCATCTTAGGATTTGGGGATCCTTTGTGAAAGTCATTATCATCAGCAATATCTAACAACAGTTACTCAAACACTTGTCAAGTGTACAAACCAAGGCTAACATTAGAGATCTTAGTTATCGGGAAGAAAAAACGAGAGGACTGTAAGTCTGCAGTGAGACTGGAGAGGCCTATGCGCAGTGGACTTAGTGGTGGACGGAGCACGTGCCGGTCGCAGGGGCTGGCGGTGGGCGTGTGCCTGCAAGGGCTGATGGGAGCAGGGGTGAGTCCTGTGTAGGACAATCACACAGCCGATCCCCACAGTGCACAGAATACCCAAACACTTTAGAGAACAACTCTTCCCCTTATGTGGCCATTGCCCGCCACAGTTCATGTTTGTCCGTGATCCAATGTATTAAATGGATTTTTTTAAAAGTGTATTTCACATCATAACCTATACATGTATATACTTACATGGAACTAAAATAAATATTTCCGTAAAATACACTTACCTCTCACGTAGTCTGGGGCTACGGGGCTACCGTGGGGCAGTTTGTGTAGCCATCGCCACGTCAGCAGAGTGGATTCATTCCACGCAGAGATCCCAAGTCATGTCCTGTGTTCAGTAGAGGTGAAAGTCTTGTCCAGGCCTTAGGCAGAGTCTCATTAACAGCATCTCCTGTGTTCCTTCCTGAGGTGGAAAACGAAGCTCATTCCCAACGTGCAAAGCCAAGGCGGCGGCCCCGGGACCCCTCCTGGAGATGGAAGCTTGTTGAAACCCAGACTGTCTCCACGGCCTGCCCAGCCGACCCCAGAGGAGAACTGGCACCACCTTCACCCTGAGGTCACCGCTAGAGACACTGATCCACAGAGACAATCACTGCCGAACCCCTTTCATCCACTGCAAGAGCCAAGGTCCAAAATAAAGTGTAAAAAGTTTTTTAAAAGAAAATTCAGCAGCACATGAGAATGCCAGCAGGCCCTGGGTCCGCTGAGCCACTCTCCTCCCTGCGTGTCCGCCGTGCACTTCCCAGAGCCTCTTGCATCCATACCTGTCACCTCTTGGCAAGGATGGTGACTTGGCTGCCCCCGCGGGCCTCGAGCACCTGGAGCCAGCAGCCAGCGCGGCCGTCAGCGTCCCCGCGGGAACGTGTGGCCGAGTTCCCTCTATGTCTCCGTCTTCACTTTTCCTTCTCTGCCTTTCTCCTGAAGCTTTTATTTAACAGCGCAAAAGGATCAAGTTTGCTTCCTTTTTTTTTTAAACTTGAATATTTTTTTAATTTACACTTTTTAGTTTTAATTTTCTTGTATATTTTGCTAGCTATGAGCTTTTAAGTAAAATTCAAAGATCTGAAAAAGTTGGGAATAAAAAGGGACTGAAAAGAAGCCACTGTTTTTTGGGCAACATCTTGTCCAGTAAGTGGCCACGTCCACTCTGCTGGTTGCAGTCGGCAGTGCTATTCCATTTTATTTTTCTTCGGATCTCGTTTTTGTTTTTTTTAATGGTAAACCTTAACAGATACTTTCGGTAGTCCAGTTTGCAGTGAATTTTCATTTCTTTCCTTCTCACCCCTTCTTGTAAAAAGCCCAGCACTTGAATTGTTATTACTTTAAATGTTCTGTATTTGTATCTGTTTTTACTAGCCAATTAGTGGGATTTTATGCCAATGATCATTGATGTACCCTTTTTTTTTTTTTTAAATAGCAAGGCACAGCCTTTGCCCCAAACTGTCATCTAACGTTTGTCATTCCAGTTTGCGTTAACGTGCTGAGCATTTTTTAAAAGAAGCTTTGTAATAAAATTTTTTAAAGTGTAATTTTTTTTTTAAAGCGTGAAGTTCCTGATCATCTGGAGTTGGTGATGGTCAACTAACTCCACGGGCCAGGCCACAGCTGCTCTGTCCCCGACTGAGGGGCACTGCTGATGCAGCTTTAAAGGTACACCTCCAAGGAACTTGTACGGAGTGGGCCCCTCCACCTCCTTCCCAGGTGTAGACCAAGTCGGGGCCAATGGGAAGAAGAGGGTCCCCAGGATTCGGATGGGACTGATTCCCTTCTCGAGCTCCTCAGACATCGCCGTGGGCTCACCCTCAGCTTGCGGCCATGTCTGCAGGTGTGCCGCGCTTTCCACTTCATAGCTCATTGCTTCTCAAACTGGGTCCCCAGGTCAAGGTGTCCCTGTGCCGAAGGAAGGTTTGAACTCCCTCTAGTCTCCCCAAAGTCAACATTTCCCCCGTATTGAGTTTGTATTCTAGAATTCTCCCTTTTGTTACACTACTAGCATATAGGTTGGTATCTGACTTAGCCAAAAATACACATTTTGTGCTTCAAACGTCAGTATTTCATGATTTTCCACGATGGTTTCCCATCCATTGAGATAGTATGAGGACCATTCATACCATTGGTCTAACTTAAGTCTCTAGCTGAAATCCTATCTCTTTTTTTCAACCTTCAATACAGCTGGGGAACAGCTGGCTACCATACTTGTAATAACCCTCCACATACTGTACTTGAAGATTGCCATTAAATCACCCCTCAAATTTCTCTTCTCCAGGCTAAGTAATCCCAACTCCTTGAACCTTTCATCATCAGTCCTTTAATCATTTTTATTACTATCCTCTGGAATCTCGCCAATTCCTCTTCATTTAGTCCTAACTTGAACCAGGGAAAAATGTCTATGTTCAGGGGACCTACTTTTTATAAAGGTTTCATATTCATTTGAAAATTATCTGAGCTTTTTAAATATACATCAACCAAGTGGTTATACCTGAAGCCCCACCATGCTTTTTTCAGGAGTTGACTAGAAAATCCAAAATAATGTAAGAGGTGACATTGTTACTTTTATTTCGGGGAGGGGTTGTAGCAACATATTAATCAGCTTTTCTGGATCTTAGAAATAAATCCATGAATAATAAAAGCCTGTCCATTAAGTAGACAGCAAGGATACAGAGCTGAGGATCGAGCCTTGCGCAAGCCTCTCCATGGGTTCCCCCTCCACAATTTTCACACACAAAAAATGAATAACAATGTTGAAAGAAATGGGTTGTTTGCATCCTCTCTGAGCCAGTGGCTCCTTCCCCAAACCCAGTCCCCTCTTCTTGATTTTCCATTGAGGATATTTTTCCATTGACTTTTTAGAAAGCGTGGAAGGGAGAGGGAGAGACAGAAACATCGATATGAGACAGACACATCGATTGGTTACCTCCCCCACATCCCCTGAGTCCACAACCGAGGCACATGCCCTTGACTGGAATAGAACCTGCGACCCTTCAGTCTGCAGGCCAACCTTCTAGCCACTGAGCCAAGCTGGCTAGGGCCCCTCTTCATTTTTTATTTTGCTTTCAGGATAACTTTTCCCAGAGAACTTTGATGTCAGTGCACAGTGCTGAAGCCTGGCCCATTCAGCCCAAATCCTGCTTTCTGCTGCAGCAGGTTCTGGGGAAGGAGAGTCAAGAGCCCCTGGAGGTACAGACCAAGGGAAGCTATCCTGGACAGCTGGGCAGAGGGGCTCCTCCAGCCACTGCTCCTGCTGGTCATGGGTGACTTGGCTTTCTTCCTTGCAGCAGGCTCAGAGCTGATGGCGTGCCTCGAGGAGGACGATGGCCCGCCTTTTTTTCTGGGAACCAGCCTTTCTGTGAGGCCACAGTTGGCATACTGGCCCTTAGAAGGGGTGTTTTCTCCTGGTTTAATGTGTTTGGTTGCTAGGGTTGCTGGCAAGGACCCATTTAGCTGGAAGGAGCCTTTGAACAGGTTCTTGACTGCAGATGTCCCAAGTACAATATTTTTTCCCTCTATAGTTTGGTCTAAGGCTGCAACAATATGAAAACCTCTACTCAGGGCCCAGGAGCAATAACGAGATGTCTGTGTGTCTTTCCTTTTAAAGGAGAAAAATCACGAGGGAGCAACGCATGTTCTGGCAGAAAAGGGAAGCAAATTCCACATGACAGTAGTTGTACAAACTACATTTACCCTATTTCCCATGGAATGTTCTCTCTCATGCTGAGAATTTTGGGAGCTGCCTTAACTTCCAGGGATACAAACAGACATACACACAAAACTTTGAACTGCTTTGTAATAGGGCAGTTTGCAATTAAGCATCTTCATAGCAATAGAAGGATGTGATTCTAAATGCTTACATGAGTGTATTGGGGGAAATAAGATCATTGATTTTGTTGGCTCTCACTTAGTGGGCACCATTGTGGAAGTTGCTAAACTTCCGCGCCTCTTTAATGGGAAAACCCATATTCTCCTCCTCTGCTGCCAGGAGTGGTGAGGGAGGCTAGGGGAAGGGCGTACAAGAGCAGCTATTGAAAATAAACATTACTCACACGAGACAACCCAAGTTAGAACTTTATACATATCAGGTAATATAGAATTAATTTAAGGTGAAACTTGAAGAACTCAAGGGAACATGGCTATTCACTTATTGCCCTGTTTGAGAAACAATGCTAATGTTGTTTATCATAGGCAGCATTGGGGGGCACAGCAACTGGTGTAAGAGAAATGCCCGGCACCCTCATTCAGTACATATCACTGAGCACCTGCCACTGGGCTATGCTGAAGTAATGGTGCACCAGCAAAATGTTTGCACTGTTTGCAAGCTTCCTCGCCACCTCATGTGTTACAATGTACAGGCATTCTGTTGCTAGATAGTAATTTGGACTTTAAAAACCAGCTCTATGTTAGGAAGGGGGTGGTGCAGCAGGAAAGGCCTGGTTTGGAGTCACAGAGCCGGACAACACCCACTCCCACCACTGCCGGGTGCCGGACACCCACCCCTCTGGGCATGCCTCCCTGTGGCCTAAATGAGGAGACCACTGACCTCTACAAAGGAGACGCCTGCCAGATAGGAAATAACTAAATGAATTTCCCCTTGAACTGCTTTGTAATTTGTTATTAAACATACTTTCTTTGCTCAGTGTAAAAAAAAATTTTGTTTTTGTACTGCCTATAGCCGTAGAACATGTGAACATATTTATTCTGTCCATGGAAGCAATTGGTAACCAAGCCTAACCAATCCGTCTGGACCAAAAATCAAGGAAATACTTACGGAAAATGATTAGGGTTTGGACTGCACTGGGTCATCTACACCAATGTGTTTACTAAGTATTTTTCTTAATCTGTAATAGCTTAAGATGTTACCAGCTAAATCCATTAAAATTTTTACTTCCCTTAAATAAATGGGAGAAATTGGTAGAAAATGTGTGATTTGCCAGATTGAATAACACTGCTTAACTGAGTAGGCAATCACTGCTTAACTGTTTCACTTTGCAGTCCACTGGAATTAGTAGATTAGTCATCTCCTCTTTTCCATCTCTAACTTGGATCTCAATTGAACCATATTTTCTCCCAAAGGAAGAAGGTATGAGGCCACCGAAGTAGAATGGAGCCCCACCAGTCGGCCTGTTTGTTATAGATTCTACCAAAGTTAGGTCAGACACCTGCTGTTCGATTGCAGAAAGGCAACCCGTGGTTTTAAAGCCCAGCTTGCCCTCCACACCAGCTCGCGTCCCCCTGAGCGTTCACAGAGCAAGGCCTGCACAGGAGCACAGCGCTCCTGGGGCTGCCTGCGGCAGTCTCATCCGCCACAGGCTGTGCCTACCCTGGTTCTAAGGTTCCAGTCAGCTGGGCTGACCTTTCCCGGGTGTCTGGTCCCAGAGAACTGGAACCCATCCAGCAGCCCTCACAAAAACTGGCCCGTTTTCATGAGTTTTCTTTTTTCCTTTAAAAAACTATTTTAAAATATATTTGTATTGATTTCAGAGAGAAAGGGAGAAATAGAAACATCAATGATAAGAGAGAATCATTGACCAGCTACTTCCTGCACACCCCACACTGGGGATGGAGCCTGCAACCCAGGCATATGTCCTGACCAGGAATCAAACTGTGAACTCCTGGTTCATAGGTGGACACTCAACCACTGAGCCACACGCTGGCTGGGCTCATGAGCTTTCAAGGCCAATGCAACCCTCTTCGTATGTGGCCACTCCAACTTTTACTGAAGCTTTTGGATGCCTGTCTCTATTCTACTCTTCAGTCTTTCCCCCCTCGTACCTTACGGAAGGGGAATTTCAAGTGGTGATCAGAAACCCTGGAGTGCAGAGTCCCACCAAGGCTGTGGTCCCTGGGGAGGGATGGGCTGCAAACCGCAGGTCGGGGAGTGAGATGTGCTGTCCCTCCCTGATCGCCCAGCATTGGACAGAGCTGTAATTTTAGTAAAAGGATGCTATCAACTAGTTCTCTCCTAGCAAGAGAACCCCGACACACAGGAGACTGAACGGGAAAGGCAGGACAGCAGAGAAAAATCAAAACATAAGCGTTAATAACTACCATAGGCCTAGGACTGAAGGACGTCATGCCAGCCATTGGCAGAACCCACAAGAGAGGGGAGTGCTGAAGGGGTAGTTGGTCTCAGACCAGGATGCGCTTGGGTAACTCAGCTCCTGACCACTTCCCTCCCTCGTGCACCACCCTTCACCTGACACCAGTTAACAAGAGCTGCTCACCTGGGAGCAGTCTGAGGGCTGCTGTCTCTTCCCCGGGACTCGAACCAGATTGCAGACGCAGCAGAGCAAGACAGCGGTGGTCCCGCCACAAATCCACGTGATGGTTCCATCCCCCTCCCTAAACTGGAGCATTGAGCCTCAAAAGCTCTAGGAACCTACCTTCCCAGATGTGCCTCCAAACCTCCACACGGCCCCAGAAAGAGGCATTTAGGGGTCAGTCCTTCAAACCACCCCAAACAGAAACCTTAGTCCAAGTATGTCTTCCTCCCCACGCTGGTTCTGGCTCCTCAGTTCCCTGCCTTCTGGGCCCTGTCGCCTAAATACCGACTGCATTTCCCTGGTGGGGTATCCCAGGTAGAAGGCTGAGGCATCTTGCTGAGGCATGGAGACCCCCATTCAGACACCCACCGGCTCCAGCAAGGCCTGCATCGTCCACCACCATGCAGAGGGCTTTGCCTTGACCAACTACATTATGACCGGATGAAAGCCCAAGTTTTCTTCTGTTCATAGTCCAGCATCACTTCCCCAACTACCACGTTGGGAAAATCTTGGGACCTTCTCTCCTCCACACTTGTTCTTCCGGGGTCTTACATCATCCAGTCTGCCATTCATTCACCAAATGTAACTGGCCCAAGTGACAGCCACCCCTGCAGCTCCCTGGGCGCTTTCCTGCCGCGCTTCCCTCCTGAGTAGCCGACCAGCCTGACCAGCTTCCCAGGGAGCTCGAGGAAGACCTTGCGGAGCAGCTGTGGGGGGTGATGCTCCACCACTTACCTTCTTACCAGGCGGCCCTGCACTTCACTTCTAAGACTCTCCTTTATAAGACTCGTGGGCCCTTCCCAATAGTCAGCACACTCCCCCCACATGTGAAATACCCAGGCCTTGGTAAGCCTGTGGGCGGTGAAGAACTCTGGCTTCCTTCCAAATAGGGCAGAGGAGCGGGGTGGTCACAATTAGCCTACTACACAGCACCACCCCCAGCCTGGGACAGCCATCATTTTGTTTCATCACCAGCCCTGTGGACTAGGGGCACTGTTTGCCCATGTGCCAGGTGCACCCAGAAGTCAATCCCTGAGGGTGCACAGGTAGAGCGGGCTGAGCACTAGAACCCAAGTCTGTTTCATTCCAAAAATCATGTATTCCCGTTAATTCTGCAGCAGCTGCAGATGGTGATTTTAGATAAAACATTGAATTCATGCCAATGACGGGATTTTTGTCTTTCAGGAGTTAACATTTCTGCTGTAGAAATAAAAACTGTGATTACAAAATATTAAGACTGATTTTAAAAATATAATTTACACAAACAAATGGGTTGAAAACAGCAATGCTCCCATTGTTCAAAGCACATTGTAGGTTACTATTTATGTATCACCAGTGCCTGTTTACAAGAAAATTGGTCCCACAAAATTAGCCACACCTTGACTTTTGGTAGACTTAATTGGTTAGTTACTTAAATTGAAATGTTAAAGGGATTAAATCAAGGTGGTACAAGAAAAAAACTTGTTTCAATGTGTGAAAAGTGTAACGTGAAAACCACGAGAGAAAGCGGAGTGTATTGTGTAAGCCGTGACTAACATGAGTTCTATCCTCTCCACCAATTAGTGGTTGAGTCTGAAATGAGCTTCTAAAAGTTGACATGTTAACGAGTCAGAAAACTTCCTCTACAACACCCAGTGGGGAATCACGTTATACCCCCAACTGTACACGTTTGCAGTTCCGGGATCTGGCCACACCTTGCCCCACGCTGCACCATGGAACAGGCCCCGAACTGGAAAGATACCTTACAATTGATGTCAAAGCTAGCCAACCATTTCCCCTGAGAAACTGTTAACAGTGAATCTTATGAACATTAAAGGGCCACAGTTTTTATTTTACAAAGACATGTTCATAAGCATTAAAACTATTCTTCAGAGAACGCCCTCGTGCTAAGCCAACTTAGACTGGGTGATGGCTATGCTCAGAGGCTCCCGGAGAGGCCACCCAGCCCTCTGGTTCCTCCTCAGTCCAGTTTGCAGCGTAGACCTCACTCAGCAAGGGCAGCAGCTGGTCCTGGCTGCCGGGCCGTCTTCCCCCAGGGAGCTCTCGGTGGGACTGAGGACCCATAATCAACTCCTCTTTATAAGAAAATGTTCAACATTCCTTCCTGGTCCCAAACATGATGCATGGAAAATTTTTTTGAAAATGATAAAAATGTTGAGAGGCCACCCTTTTTGACTTGCTAAAAGTGCATATAAAAATCTCAGCCAGAAAAGGATCGCTGTGGCCCTACCCTCACATCCTGGCAGGCTGATGGTCCCATTGCCGTCCTCTCTCTTCCCTGAATTGAGGGGTCAAGAAAGAGCCCTGCCATTTTCAGGACAAAGGCCCACATCCTGTAGGCACTTGGGTCAGTGAGAAGGAAATGAAGCCCCGCCGAAGGCCAGACACAGGTCAAAGGCCAAGAGCCAGCCTGAGAGCACAGGGCTCAGGCACGAGGGTGACCCTTAGTGATGGAAACGTGGTGGCCCCGCAGGTGCTTCCTTTTTCTCGTTAGGAAATGTTTTATAAGAATAACCTAAGTTTCCTAAACCAGGGTCTGTGTGTGGTAGAAATGCATGTACATATGTATGTTCCTATGATGCTATAGTTAGATTCAAGAAAAAAAAATTACTAAGCCCCCTTTTATCATGAAGTGGGGAGTGGGCAGTGGGGATGGCAATCTCTCAACCATTAGACTTATGCCCCAGGACACCAAACAAGGGTGCCCATTTTGGGGACAGTCCTGTTTGAAAGTCTGGATTTGAAATTCCCAAATGTGCTAGTTTGTATTTATTTTATCATCAAAACTAGTTCTAATCCTGGCTCTGCTACAAAACTTCTGGTGACCTTGGGCACATAACTCAGGGTCTTTGTTAATGAGGTCACTGGGCCTCAGGGTTTCTGATGTCCTTCCAGCTTCAAAATTCTATCTTGGAAGACACTTTCTCAAGCCAATGATTAAAGAAGCTTATGTCACATTATTTCCCTTTGTTGGCAAAGAAGCAGATGTTCCTTAAAAATTGTTTTCTGTGCCCTTAGTATGATTTTATTGGCAAGAAACCTGGAGTGATGGCTACAGTCAGGTCCCCACAAACACCTCCACATGAACACCTCCTCCTCGCCACTGCCGCTTTAAACAGCAATAGACCGAAGGCGGTGGGGCACAGCTCTCGGCTAAATCACCAACCTTTACTTTTGTAATCACTTAAGCATGTTACCATTTAAAATTATACATGTTTATTTCAATTCAAATTTTTACAGATTAAAAGATTGTATTTTATTAGAGTCAATTTGTAGGCAGTTTGCAGTAATGATTTCTCATGAAAAAAAAAGAGAGAGAGAGAGAGACCATACTCATCCAGATTTCAGATGAATGAAACCTCTTCCTGCAAACCAAGAGCATGGCGATGTTCCTGCCAGTCCAGCAGATGATGAGTGGGATAGAGACAGGACACTATGTTGTGCCCAGGATGTGCGGAGAGGCTCAAAGCTGCAGGTAGCAGACCTCACAAAGGTGAGATGCAACGCTGCTCCCTACAGCGCGTCACAGACACATCACGGTCTCGCCAACGCCTCCAAGTGGCAGCGATGACCCCTAAACGCTCTCAGAGGAAGTGTGTGAATTCAGTGTGTGAATTCTCAAAGTGACGAGGTTCAAAAGAAATGTTTGCTCCAAGGCACCAAGGGTGTAAAGCTTTTTAGAAAATACACAGAAATGAACAGACTAAAAAAAGGAACTCGTTCTCAATAGAGAACCCTGCTACGTGTAAATAATTACTTCAGACAGATTACAATCAAATTGCACATCGCATAGACTGTGCTGTGTGGGAGCAGGTCCGACCCCAGGGCATTCCCGCGGGTGCTTGGGGCGGCTGCTGGTGGAACTTACAGGGCTCGTCCCGGAGCCGGAGCACCTGTGCATCATTTGTATTTATAAAACCCTTCTCCCGTCTTCTTGCCAAGCTTTTTCTCTGCTACCATCTTGTTCACGGACGGGCTGGGCTGAAACAGTGGGTTCTGTGTATCCATCTCATGCCACCCTATTGAGAGGAGGGAAGAGGGCTCAGATGAAGTGCTGGCCTTATTTTCACATCTCAGCATTCCCAGGGCAAGACTAGAGGTCCCACTTTGATGTGGGAGAGCCCCTTGGGTGTGGTGCCCCTCAGGCCAACATGGCAGAGAGAGGCTGAGCTGGTGCAGCCCCAGGGCCCCAAAGGAGGTGAGCTGCCTGTCTTCCCCCCACCCCACGCTGCTTGAGGCCTGGCTCCTGTTTATCCAACCCTTCCTGAAATCACTGGTTCAACTGCGGTTGAACTTTTCACAGTCAAACAACTTTCAGAACATGTGAAAAATCTGAATTTGCTGCTGCTGGTATTTTACATCCTCTTAAAATTCCAAAGCGCATGCTTCAAGTAGAACCTTCCTCACTCCTCCCGAACACGTAAGTGTTCTTTGTGAAACCTGGTAGTATGAGCTACCTGCAACCTCAGCAGTCCCACTGTAATAATTATTTTTCCTGTTTCAGAGCCTTCACAGTAAAGTGGACACATTAAAGAAAATGGCTGGTTATCTTGACTGCAGGGCGGTTACACAAATCAGAATGTGTGCGAGAAGGACACAATGCGTCAGTGCTGCTTCATGGTTTCACACTGTGCTGTGGTCTTGTGATGGAACTGCGGGGTGATACCGGGAAAGGGTAAATAGGACTGTCTGTTTTATATCTGAAACTTCCTGTGAATCTATAATTATTTCAAAGTGAAAAGTTAAAAATAAAAAAGGTACCCGGTGAAGAGATGCTAGGGAGCCAGCACATTTTTCCTTCCTCTACTACCTAGTAACTTGAGTTGTTAAGCCATGTGGGCAGGACTTTGGGAAGTCTCCTAAGGCCCCTTAGAATTTCTGTTTTAAACAGGCCTGTAAGTCACAATTGAGAGAGACTACCTCAACTCAATGAAGAAAGACAACAGAGAATCCCAAGGCGTACCGTCCATGATGAACTTCGTTGTGTCCAGCCCAACGTAATCGAGAAGCTCAAACGGGCCCATGGGGTACCCAGCTCCTAGCTTCATAGCGACGTCGATGTCTTCCTTGGACGCGTCACCTAGGGAGAAGGGGAGCCTGTTACTGTCTTCCCACAGGTCTCCTTGTCAGGTTGCTAGTTCCAGAACTGCTAGAGTTCTGCACATTCAAAAAATATCAGGAGTCAGGATTTCTGGCTTAAGTAAGATTTTGTGTCAGAGACACATGCTAAACAGGTCACAAGACTTTCAAAGCTATTTTGTAGGTGAGTTCTGCCCATGGACAGAGAAAGACCCCGAGACCCTGATTCCAACATTAGTTACTTTCTAACGGGCTAGAAATTTCCAAGTCTGGAATAATTTACTAAAATATCATTTAGAGATTTTAGAATCTAAAGCAGATTTCTGATTGATAAATGGACTTTTCTTTATAAAAAGAACTAAGTTTTATACTTTTGTATTTATTGTATATACATTTTTCTTTTCCAGCTTTCTTGGTTTTGCAAATAATGAGTATTCCTCTAGAACAGGGGTGGGCAAACTTTTTGACTCGAGGGCCACAATGGGTTCTTAAACTGGACCGGAGGGCCGGAACAAAAGCATGGATGGAGTGTTTGTGTGAACTAATATAAATTCAAAGTAAACATCATTACATAAAAGGGTACGGTCTTTTTTTGTTTGTTTGTTTTATTCATTTCAAACGGGCCGGATCCGGCCTGCGGGCCGTAGTTTGCCCATGGCTGCTCTAGAATGACAGTCACATAAACACTTCAGTCAAAATAACGTTTGAAGAAAAGCCCAAACCTGCTTTAGAACTGCTATGAAAGCTTGAACATGTGCTGAGAGGACTAAGACAAGGGCCAATATGCTTCTTCCTAGGAGTTCCATCCTTAGCATCCTGTCCTTGGGCCACAGGAGGCCTTGACAGAGAACAGCTTGTCCCTTTCTCTGAAATCGGGAGCGGGAAGAGTCTGTAGTAGGTGGCTATCTAGAATTTTGTTCCAAAGCATAAAGAAAGGGACAATTATACCAAAATGTTAAAAATGCTCAGAGAAGATTTCATACCTAAGTATTTTGGATTTTTGGGCATGAGAAACAGGAACTATTTAAAGATCTATAAAGACGATTTTTTAAAGCAAATTAAGTACTGAAGTAATGCCAAAGGATTTCAAGGCAGTCCAAGGCGATTAAAATACCAGGCAATTATTTCATAAGGGTGACATTATTAGTATCCTCTAATTAGTTAACCAGAGGGTCCTGAGGATCATGATTTGAATTCAGGTCATAAGAAAGCAAAGAGAGTAAAATGAGCATACACACTAGCCTTATCAGGTGTCCTCATTCATTCATTCATTCATTCAACTTGCATTCATATCTGTCATGTACCAGGCACCCAGACTTAGAATGAGACAAAGAAAATCAAGAAGAGCACTTGAGTATGAGTACTCAAAATATAATGGGAGAAGTCAGATGTGTAAACCAAAAATTTCACCATTAACAAGAGCTGAAGACTCACGCAGCTGTGTGGGCAAAGATGGGGAGGTTTACTCACACTACCATGACTTCACCAAAACTACCACCAGGCCCAGGTCCTAAATGTCCCAAAGAGAAACCCCAAGGGAAGAGCAGGCAGCGAAGGCCATTCCAGGCAGCAGGAACAGCATGTGCAAAGCCAGGGATGAGAAAGAACATGGCAGCTGAAAGGCGGATTCTGCTCAAAGAATTTCATTAAACCCCACGGCTTCTATGCTGTCAGAGCCGGAATGCTGGAATGACAGCCTCGTACATTCCTCTGGCTCAGCACCTGCTGTTCCCTGTGCCGGGTGCCCAATGTCCTCGGACTTCTGACATCTGTAGGCCTCTGCTCACTACCCTCCCTCTCAATGCATGTAAACTAAGGACTCGGGGCTGGGACTCCTGCCATCCTCTTACTTTATCTTTCTCAGAGGTTACTGGTCTCAACCTAACGTGCTGGTTATTTACTAGTACTAGGGGCTCTCCCATCTCATAAGAATACAGGCTACCTAGGGACAGAAATCTCCTGGCATAATGGTTCCAACTCACCTAATGCCATTTAATCAAATCTACATTCAGGGACAGGCAATGAACCCTAGAGGAAAGACTGTAATTCCAGACTCAGAGAGTCACATACTTCAAAAAATAATATGAAGACAGCGTATCACTAAACAAAACAAAACCTAAACAGTTTTACAGCACAACTCTAAAAATTCTATTTGGAGTTAAAACAGAGCCAAAGACGCAAAAAAAGAGAGAACTAAATAAAACACACACGTATAGATTGGTGTGCTATGTGGGAGTTAAATGTGGTGGGGTGTTTTAGACCATTAATTCCTAACTTACTTTATAGTGAAGCACTTCACTGAGAAGCTGATGCCCTCTACAAAGAAAACGTTACATACATGCAAAATTTTGCATGAACCTTAGGAGGTTCTTGGAACCCTCCTCCCCAGATAAGAGCCCTTAACTCTAGACAACACGGAAAAGCCTCCTCAATGAACTCCTAGATCTCCTGCAGCCTGCGAACCTGGGATCGCCCCAACAGGGCAATTTTGCTGGCTCATCAGCACCACCTACCAGCCACGCTTGGCATTACCACCACCCAGGGTCACAGCCACAAGGAGCAGAACCTCTGCAAGCCACCATTCCTTTATTCAGCTATAGTGACCTCAATGCCTGTCCAGTACTGGTACACTAAGGATACCGCCACAGGCAAGAGAAGGGAAGGAGAAAGACACCTGCCCTGCCGCAGGAACTGAGTGGCAGCCAGACAACGAACCAGAGCATAAAGACACTGGCAACACAGATCAGGTCCGGCCTGCAGCCCTGAGAACACATGGTGGAGTTGTGAGAAAGGTAGGGTGAGGGAAAAGGCCCTCTGGCAAGGACACTGTCCTTGATGACAACAGAACCTCTGGATATAAGGAGTGACAGTGTGAGCAGGACATCACAGTGACTGGAGGCCAGTGACTGTGGCCCCATCACCCTGCCAGAGCCTACCGTGGCCTGTCAGAGTGGCACCTGATGGGGGCAGCTGTCTGCTACTGGGCACCAGCCTGCTCAAAGGTGTGGAGAGTGAGCTCTGACCCGCAGGGATGAGGGTGACTGACTCCACCAATCAGGCCTTAACGACAGTGGGGATGAATGAGAGCGACAGAAAGAGGACAGAAGCTGAAGGACGCAGAGACGCTCGAAGCTCAGAGGCAGAGGGAGAGCGGTGGAGTGCCCGGATACCATGGGGAGTTGGTGCAGCCTGTGGCTTTCTGCAAGCTGTTCAGCTGCCAGGAGGCCTGAGTGGATGATGACTGGGATGAGCCCCTCTGTAATGCCCCAGCCCCTTCTGCTGAGCCTGCACCTCAAAGCAGCAGTGTGCCAGCCGTGTGTGAACACTCACCCCACAGGTGTATCAGCAGTGTGTGTATGGTCTGAACGTGTGTCCCCCAATTCCTATGTTGAAACCCTACCCCCCAATGAAATGGTATAAAAAGGCGGGGCCTTTGGGAAGTGATCAGGATCAGATGAGGTCATGAGGGTGGAGCCCCCATGAGTGGGATGAGAGCCCCTCAAAGAGCCAGTTTCCTCTCTGCAATCTCCACGTGAGGACAGTGTGAGGACACAGCGAGAAGTCAGCAGCCTGCAGCAGGCCCTCACCAGAACCCAACCTTGCCGTCACCTTGACCCTGGACTTCCAGCCTCCAGATCGGTGAGATATAAACTCGTTAGTTACAGGCTACCCAGTCTGTGGTATTCTTGTGACAGCAGCTCGAGCTGCCCAAGGCAGTGTTGTACAGAGCTTTCCTCAAGAGTTCAGAAAAGGCCGGGAGAAAGAGTCAGTGTACGCCTTCACTGTATGACTCTGCTGCTGGGCCCCGGGCTCCCCCCGCCATGGGGCAGACACAGCACGCACTGTGTCCTCACCCCCCAGGACAGCACGAGACTGTCTGCAAACATGGCAGAGACCAGTTACAGTTAGGAAGAGATGTGAGGTGGCGTGAACGCCTTTGCTGCTTCAAGGAGCCCCGCTGAGGCAGGGCTAGCACAGGGGAGCTGGGATGACAGGGAGGAATCAACAGTGACAAATGAACAGATGTGACAGGCAACAGAGGATCCAGAATGGGTTCAGGTTTCAAAGTAGAATAGATGCTGGCAGGTCAGCACAGACAATGGAAATGGGTGGCGGGTGTGCATCTCACACACCTCTGTGTGGGCTGAAGGAGGGCAGAACCTTGAGGGCAGCAGGAGGGACATGGTAAACACTTGGAGTGCGGGAAACGAGTTAAGTCGGCTCGCGTGAATTGCGCGTACTCCGCGGGAGCCGTCTTTAACTCGGTTCATATAGATTTGCGGTGGAGTGCGGGAAACGTGTAAACTCGGGCCGATTGTAACTGCGTATTACCAAATATTTGTTTGTAATCCACCCTTTTGGTGGATGGAACAAAACCAAAAGACAGAGCCATCTTATATTTTGGCGGGAAATTCACCCGCACTCCAAGTGTAAAGAGCCTGAGGTTGACATGAGGAGTCCAGACCACAGTGGGCTTGCTGGGAGAAAGCCCCGCCCCCAACATGACCCCCAGCTGTTCTAGAAGAACAGGCGCCGGCTCCCAGGCCCTGAGAAGCAGTCAGCGGGGAGGCAAAGGGACAGCAATGACAGGTGCTGAGGGCAACGTCAAAGGCAAACTAAGGGTCAGATTCCCCTTCCAGCTTCACCTCACCAGCCACTGGTGATGGTGAGGCTCAAAGGGAATGCATCTGTTCAGAAAGAGACCACTGCCGGGGACTGGGGACAGAAGACAAGAAAATGACTTTCAACTTACAATCTGATACATGATCCATCTGCAAATATGTCAAAGTGACAGTATGTTGCAGTGAGAAAAACACCATCAGGAGGTGAATCACCCACAACATGCTCTATTCTAACACATTACATTACAAAAACCAACCCTGCCTTGCAAGGTTGGGCAAAACATTTCCCGCTTCCTCTGAGCTGTAATTAGGTGTATTTGTTGATAGATAAACACAGAAGTGTTGGTTTGATCTTGGAGCAAAAGTGAGGCAAATGCTCTCCTGAAACACAGAGAAAAGTTTTAATATTTAAAGCAGATTTTGAGGAAGCAAATGTGCTTTCATCTCTCTGGAAGAGCTGGTAGAAACGTTTTGTTTCGAAATGACATGCTCAGGAGCAAGCATTTGTGAAGTAATTGAAAACAATTACACTTGCTTTTTATCCATCCTATTAAGGCTCTTTGCCTTTGAAGCTGACATGATAGTTACCTTTCCAGAAATGTGGTGGGGAAGGCAGGCAGGAGGCTACATGACATTTTATAATCTGGACCGGGTCCCAGGTCTTATACGTCTATCAACAAGTACTGAGGAGACATTTTAGACTATTCTTAGGGTTAAAAACCCAACCTGTACCGTGGCATCATCAGCAAGGCTGGACGGGGCTGTCATAAGTGGTCCTCAGCGCATGCCAGCCTTGTTACTTACTTCCTATCACAGTCACAATTTAGAGCTTTAAGGAAAACTGAAGGTTACCTAGCCCAGTAATTTTCACATTACTACTATTATTTTAAGCAATAAACCCTTTAACCAAAAGCAGAGATCCAGGATATAAAGCTGTGCTGGGCGTGCAATTGCTCTGGCCAGGACTACAGTGGAGGGTCCCAGAGCCACACCTCAGAGGCCTCACAGGGAACCCAGGGGGCCCTGGCAACGCACTGACAGAGGTACCAGGGCCCAGGGTGAGGCCAACTCACCCGGCTAGAAAATGGATGCTCCTTCCCTGCTCTGTAAGGCCCGCCCTTCCTGCAGCCCCTGCCTGAGGACATCCCGGCCTGCGGCTCCCGCCTGGCCCAGGACAGCCACCTCGTGCGTACCTCGTTCGTACAGCCGGACTGCTTCCATGAGGTAGGGCACCAGCAGGCGGTTCACAATAAACCCGGGCGTGTCCTGTTTTAGGAGACAGAGAAAGAAAAGACACGTGAATTTTCATTGAACTCTATCTTTTGTGAAGTCACCAGGCTGCCCCTATGTTACCCATATTTATGAAGCTATACATTTTCAAAACTTGTATTATAGTAGTAGCACAGCCTTACTTCCACTTTACATGACAATTTATCCAACAACTATAGTACTTAACAAAACCCCAGATGCCCCCTTCTGACAAGGTTAGAAGTCAGAAAGCAGCCTGGGAAAAATATCTGCTCTACTTACAATATACAGTGTTTTAAAATAGAGTTTATATTGTCTACATAAAGAGCCTGAAAAGAGTACTAAAACTCACAAAATATTTAAACACACTACTAATCAAAAAATTTTCATTGGAACAAAACTGGCATTTGCCAGTAAGATTACTGGGAACAGGTTTTTCCCCATTAAAATATTCAGTGTTTTTGAGGATGCTGAGACAGATACTCTCATAATGTTAGTGGGATGTAAAGAGACATCATCCTTGAATAAAGCAATTTAATTTTATGAAATTGTACAGCTTACATTGTTCATGCGTTTTTATCAATTTATTAAATATACTTTATTGCACTTACTATGTGCCTGGTATTGTTCAAGTACTTTACAAATATTAATTCAGGCCCTGGCCTGGTGGCTCAGTTGGTTGAAGCACTGTCCCATACACCAAAAAAGGTTGCGGGTTCCATTCCTGGTCAGGGCACATACCTAGATTATGGGTTTGATCGGGGCGTGTACAGGAGACAGCCAATTGATGTTTCTCTCACACATCAATGTTTCTCTCTCTCTCTCTTTCCCTCCCTCACCCCCCCCCTCTAAAAATCAATAAAAACATATCCTCAGTTGAGGATTACAAATATATATATTATTTATTCCTCATACTAACCCTGCGAGGTAATTGTTATTACCTCTCTGTAAGGTAAAGGACACTGAGCCACAGAAAGGTTAAGTAACTTGCCCAAGGTTACACAGCTAGTAAGTGCCAGAGCCAAGAGGTGAACCCAGTCTGGCTGGCTCCAGAGTTCATGGCCTTAACCTTTTTACCTCACACTCCCCTTCCCTGTGAAGTCTCACTATGAAAAGACACACTGCAGGCACATGAATGCCACTCTTCTCTGTCAGGTGTTGGCAATTACCAATGCAATCCTATAGTCTAAATCCAGCGCTACCCCCCCGCCCCCGCCCGTTTTTAAATAAAGTTTATTGGCACACGGCCACATTCATCTCAGCATGTGCTGTCTCTGCTGCCTTCCGCTACGACAGCAGGATTGAGAGGCTGCAGCAGAAACCACGTGCCCTAAAATATTCACTCTGGCCCTTTCCATGAGAGCGTGCAGACCCCTATCCTATGTGGGTGCCATATATCGTCAGGATGCTTCTCCAAGAGCCTGAATAACTGACCCAGAAAGACTCCCAGGAAGCACTACGGTCTAGTCTGGAGAAAGTGTTCTGGATGATACAGTAGGTACTTTTGTGAGACCAAGAGTTCCATCCCTGCGCCTGGCGTGGCTCCCCGTGGAAGAACAGACCCTTGCTCTCAGGAAGTATTGGTTGTGCTGCTGAGCTTGACCACTGGCTCGGCCCTGCACCCCCACTTTTGCAGCCAGCCTCTGATTTGCTCACACTGTCCTTTCCAGCGTATGACTACTACCTGCCACTCACACAGCATAAACTGCTAAGAAAGTCCAATCATAACGTCAGGTTAGTAACGTGATTTTTAAAAAATCCAGACAATTTAAAACCACAAACCTAAACAAATAAAAAACGAGTGTTAGGAAAGTGAGACTCCCTAAGAGCCTACACTCCTGGGCTGGGGACTGGCACGTGCTGCTCTGCTCTTTCTGGTGCCCGGGGTCCACATCCACAGGCGACTGACTCGGCTGATTTGTGAACAACCCGAGTCTTCATGGGCTAATACAATACTGTGAGTTCAAACTCAAGAATCTTTTAGAGCCTTGACTAGTTTGGCTCAGTGGATAGAGCGTCGGCCTGCGGACTGGGGGGGGTCCCAGGTTCGATTCCGGTCGGGGGCATGTGCCTTGGTTGCGGGCATGTCCCCAGTGGGGGGGTGTGCAGGAGGCAGCTGATCGATGTTTCTCTCTCATCGATGTTTCTGGCTCTTTATCCCTCTCCCTTCCTCTCTGTAAAAAATCAATAAAATATATTTTTAAAAAAATCTTTTAGAAAGCAAAAGTAGGCTATGAAAAGAACAACAATGATACAGAAAATTATGGTAAAAAAAAGGTGAGATAGTTATAAAAATTTTTAATGGCATTTTGTGACACAACTGCCCCTTTAGAAAGCTGCCAAGTCATGCAGAAGTGTGGCCCTTACATTTTGGAAGAACCAGTGAGTAACTAAACAAATGAAGAGACTGAGGTAACCAATGCGAAGCAGTGGAGGGCCAGGGGTGACTTTACAGCTCATAACTGGGGACCCTAAGGGGAAAGGTCGAGGCAGGCTTTCCATTTGACCGCACTTCTCACTGAAAACAAAACACACAAACGACAACGCAGCATTCCACTGAGAAGCAGCTTTCCTAGCATGACCTGGGGCAGGGCGGGCTGCTCTTCTCTCATCACCTCCCGACTATGCGTGCTGCTCCTGCCAACAGCGAAGCCCCAGTGTTCTGTTTGGGATGCACAGGTCCATCAGGCTGTGCCGGACACACAGGGTGGTTCTGGCTCCTGAGGCCCAGAAGCTAAAGCTGATGGAGTAACAAAATCCATTTGTGGAAACACAGCCACTTGTCAACAGTCTGCTGCGCCCCTTTGGATCTCAGACTCCCCATGATGGCCCTGGCGAGCTAGAAAGGAGGCGCAGCTCACTCTTCCCAACCCATGGACAAGCCTGCAGTACAAGTGCCCCATCTCCCGCATCGTTCTCCTGCGCAAGAATTCCACCTGGAGCAAGTCAGGTCCCGGGAAAATCAGCCCTTCCCATGCTACTCAGACTCCACCTTGCAGGTAACAGGATGCTTTCCCAGGGCTTTGCTGAAGTCTAGCAGAGATTCAAACGTCTTCTGGCTGGTCATCGGCGTTTTAATGACCTGGAAATGCAAAGTGGAGAAGAATTATGACCCAGATCAGCACACAATTTTAACAGAACAGTTCAAGAAACATTGACCAAAAGCACCCACACGGGCAGCAAAAATAGCTTTCGTTTCAGAATAGAAGGATCTCAGCCAGAAACAAAATGTTTACCAAAACGCCCACTTTAAGACACTGAAGTACTGCAGAATACACAAAATCAAGGCCTAAAATACAAAGGTGAGGGTTTGTGTAGGAGAGTTTTACAGGCTTTTTTGTGAGACAGACCTGGGCTCAAATCCCAACTGCACCACCTCCTGGCCCACAACTCGGCATGTTTTGTGAGACTAGAACGACACTGAAATCACTCTACCTGTCTCAAGGAACTGAGGCGAGACTGTGAGGCAGGGCAGGATTGCAGCCCTAGCAGGCAGGAACTGCTCCCTAGGTGCCGACTTTTGCTGGTGTTTTACCTGCTGCTGTTCACCACTTCAGGGAGGTAACTGGAGGAGCCTAAAGGCTCTCTTTGCTTCTGAACAGGCCAACCACAGAGGAAGGCTTTCACTTCCTGCAAACAGGGGCTCAGGGCTGGGGCTGGCCTGCCAGGCACCTTGGGAAGGTGCCCCAGTCCTTGTACCTCCTACGAGGTGCAGTGCAAGGGTCTAGTGGGCCACTGAGATCCACAGGCGACGGCACAAGCACCATGCCTCGCAGCCAGCCCTCAGGAAACATTGACTTTACACGTCAAGAGTTAGATTCTGGCAAATGGAGTGAGAGCCAGGTGAATTCATACTTTAAAAAAACCAAAGGATATATATACATACATACATACATATATATATATATATATATGTAAGGACTTCACCAAAAGTCAAAGCAAACAGGCGGGGCTTCTCCGTCAGACCCTGTCTATGAGCTTAGGCAGGCCAGACCAACCCTGCGTGCCTCTCTCCTGTGACATGGGATGAGGACACCGATACGTCCGCCCTACTTGAGGGCGCCATGTGCCTTAATGAGCCAGTACCTGTGCAAGATGAAAGGTGCAGCTAAGTGAAGAGATTCTCATTTGTGTTCTAATGTGAGCACAGCCTGGGGTGTGGTGGAGTGCCAGGACACTAAGGGAAGTCAGTAAGTGGAAGCAGAAAGAAGTGCCAGGAAGATGGGGATGAGGCTGGGAAGAACCAGCCAGACACTGCTCTGTGGCATCACCCATCGAAGGGCAACCCGAGAGCTGATCTAAGGAGGCGCCACACATCCCATCAGAGCTACAAAGACGGAGTAGGGCACAGGCCGCTCAGTACGGAGTTTTAAAAATAATGTGTTAAAGAAGTCAATGGTAAAGGCTTTTAATGGGAGGGCTGCATATTCATTCACTCAACCAAGAGCAACATGCTACACATAATCTGCTTATAGCTCCAGCAGGGTCTGAAGAGAAGGTATATATATATATATATAAAACCAGTTCCAAGTAAAAGGCAAGAGCCACTCAGCCACATGTGAAAGCTAAAGAATAAACACTGAATAGAGAAGAGCTCTGTTTTAGAAAATATTTTCTAGAGAATGCTAACATTTGCTAATAAGTATTAGCTGTTAACAACCAATGTGCAACATTTTCAAAGACACAGATGGACCCGATCCGATAAATGCAGTTGAAAACAACATTATTAGAGTTTGAAGTAAATCTATAAAATGTGTCTTTATCTCCAAAACACATATGCACATGATATGTGGTTTACACAAGAAAGTAATTAGTTGCTAAGTACAGAAATGTTAAAAATCCCATTCCACTTCTTTTGCTCTTTTCTGCATAAAAGAGGATAAATGTGGTTTTCTCTATCCCCTCTTCATTCTTCAACTTCTTCAAAAACCACCATAGGGAATGGGGTAAATTGGAAGAAGCTGAGGAGCAATGTTAGAACAGACAGATTCCTATCGCAAGCTGGTCAGAGCTGTCACTCGACAGAAAACTATAGGAAAACAGTCCTCGTTAACCTAACGCTCACGCTGCTGCGGGATGGGGTGGGGTGGGGAGGGCAGGGATAAAGGAAGGAGCGAGGCCTGGAGAAGGCAGCAGTGGGGAAAACAGGTCCCGAAACACTGGGCTCCACATCCCCCACACTTCGCACGGCAATAAATCTCCAACCTCACAACAAATGCTACTTTAATAGCGGCTGCTCCTCACACCCCGTCATTAGTCCACTGTAAAAGGCAAGTTGCCACATTTCAGGTACCAATTGTCTACTGTGACTCCATCTTCCTCATCCCCAAGTCTCCAAGCAAACAGAAGCAGCAACCAGGAAGGCTGGGGCAGCCCTCCCAGGCCACTCCCTTCCACCTGCGGGTTTGTGGTCAGGAAGTTCAAGGTTATCAGGAGCTCTTTAAATAGCTCTGATCACAACACCCAAAAGATGTGCCTCACCCTGGGGACAATACTGAGGCCCTATTAAATGGGGCCAAATTCACCCCAGGAGCAGTGGACGAGGTAGTGATAGTGGCTCTTGTGTGAAACCAGGCTGTCTAATAAGAATTCCATCTACAGCCTGGAGCAAACTGACCTCACCGAGACCATCCAAACACGTGTGGCTCTCCCCTGGTTGCATCAAGCCAGTGATCTTTAGTGCTGCCTCCCAGTCAGATGCCTCTCTCTGTACTGCCCACCAGCTTTGGAACAAACAAGTAACTAACATTCCACAAAGTTAACTGCCCTCCTGGACATCACGGGTCAGAACACAGGGCTGTGGAGAAACGAAACACAGGGGCCTTCCTTTGGCTCTGAAAGGATAGGCTATCCCCAGAAAAACACAGCACAAGGACAACCTACCCTCACCCCCCACCCCCACCCCACCCCCGGCTTAGAATCCTTCCGGTGCAATACCCCATGGCAGGGCGGGTGCGAATCAGAGGAGCAGGACAGAGTTGCAAAGCAAGCAGACACGCACAGCAGGGGCCCACTGACCTCCACGAGCTTCATCATGGGCACTGGGTTGAAGAAGTGGAGCCCGGCGAAGCGATCCTGTCTGGTGGTGGCATTGGCTATGTTCGTGATCTGCAGAGAGGAAGTGTTGCTGGCAAAGATTGTGTGTCTGTGGAGAGAAAGATGGTAGGTTATTGGAATGAATCCCATCTTTGGGAACAGTCAGGACTATTCTCAGATGCAATGCATGAGGCAACACTTCCTGCCCAGATCTGCTGTCCTGACCCCCGGAGGAAGCCAGAGAAAAGACTTCTTCATATAAGAAACTGAAGTCAAGTGACCTGGTTCACTTATTTTTAAATTTTTATATGAAGTAATTTAAAAGTTACTTGTTCCAAAGGTGTATTTATTAATCTTTGCCAATCGTTCCTTAATTTTAGGGAGCAAAATTTCTCCTCTCCAATTGTATTAATTTTCATGGTATGAGGGAAAAAAGGAGGCAGCTACTTAACCAACCTCAGCCACAAAATAAAACTCTAAGTGATCAAAGACCAATGAAAGAAAGGATGCATCCAGACTCAAACAAAAATTGTAAAGAAACACTTGGATTCTCAACTAGAACCATCAGGTAAGAAACATGAACGAAGATCTTTTTCCCTCAGTGAAAAGCTTTACTTCTCCACTGAATGGGAATTCAAATGAAAAGAGAAGAAAACCACCTGGTCCAAAAGCAGTTTTAAGGTTCCACAAGTAGAACTGGGAAAGAAAAGATACATGTTTATACATGATAAATGTAGTTCAAGGTATTGTGCTCCTAAAAAGACAGTGTCGTCTTCTTTTGTGCATATAAATATTGTGAAATTTAAAAAAAATACTGACTTAAACCAAATTTAATTTTTAAGACCACAATAAAGTGGGGTGCCAAATGAACAACAGGCAAATCTTTTTTTTTTTTAAACAGGCAAATCTTTAAATAGGCAAGACTTCCAAGCTTTCCTATGGCACCACCTTGTGGGTGAGTAGATACAAAACACCCTAATGCTAATTAGAACCACAAAAGCCTCGTCACAATACAGCAAGAAGGAGAGCAGTCCTTTACTGAGGATTTGGGGTTCCTGCTTACCAAAACATCAGGGGCAAGTGGGAGGAGGGGCAGAAGGCTGAGAGGAGAAACAAGTGGATTTGGAAAGAGGAGAGAAGACTGAGGTGAAAGGAGAAGCCAGTGTGGCTGGGTGGCTGCTCAAGCCCCCAGGAAAAGATCCTCTGGGTCTTCTACTCAGGAGAGCGCTCACTTTTAAGGCACCACAGCACCCAGCTTTCTCAACAACTTCAAGTTAGCCAATTTAAAAGCCAGGTAGAGGGGATTTTTCTTTTTTTAAATTTTAAAGTTTTAAAATTCTAGTTTTCAAAGCTGCTTGCTTTTTGGTCAATGGAGGAAATAAACTACCTCCCATACAGAAGGCAATGAGAAAAGATCCTCTGCAATAGCAACGAGTGTGGTTGCCACAAACCACACACCCTGAGCCATAGCAGCAGGGGCAGTTGAAGGGCATTTACAGGACATCTGAAGGGCAACCCACTTGCAAAAAGGGGAAATGAAGATGCATTGATTGCAGAGCATGTTTTGTGAAAGGATGAAGTCACAACAGAGCCCAGTCCCAAGTGTCCCCAACCTAGGACACTCCCAGCACACGTTTTACCAGAAGGGGAAATGTCTCCTCCCACTGCTCCTACCAGCATCTCACGTCCTCTTCCAACACAAACACAATGTGCTGCATAATAAATATACAGGGTTGTCTTATCTTCCACAAAAGTATGCCCTCACATTTTCCCTTTCTTGGACCATCTTTTGTTTTTCCCCTTCTGACAGTCAGTTACAAAAAAAGCTATTTTTCTCTTAAATGTACTAAGAAAAAATCGACAGTGCGAGCCTAATGATCACTGGCAATGCCTGCAGGCCTGAGTGTGGAGAAGGCAAGAGGGGGTGGTGGGGACTGCGGTGCCGACAGGGGAGAGGCAGGACTCAGCTGACTAGGGGCCTTAGCCAAGCTTTCATCTGCAGTTCTTACACGAGAGAAGTCATGTCCTCCTCCATCTGGAATGCTATCACTGAAACATATTTTCATCTCCTGTTATAGGACCTAACTGTAAAGCACTGCAGTAAAGTATATCTTACTCAAGCTACTTAAAATGAAAACAAGCGTGTAGAGAAGGACAGCTGATGGCCAGAAGCAAAGTCACATCTGTTGTGGGCACCACTCCCCCTATTTTACAGATTGCTAAGGAAGTTAGTCTTAGAGTTAGAACTGGGATGGTCTTGGACATTATTTACCCCTAACCCAACTCAAATTACAGATGATACAACTGAGAGCCAGAAAGGTTTGCTGGCAGTCCACAACCAGAGGGAAGTGGTGGGGCTGGCCCCAGAACCCTCACTTTCCCTACAGTCCTCCTATTACTGGATGCTGACATAGAGGGCAGTCACACCTGTCACTGTCACCAGGGAATGACCAACATTGCAATACTAGAAGCCTGGTGCACAAGATTCGTTCACTTGGCGGTGGGGGGGGGGGGCGGGGGTCCCTCAGCCCAGCCTGCGCCCTCTTGCAGTCTGAGAGCCCTCGGGGGGATGTCCAACTGACAGCTTAAGAGCAGGCTTAAGCGGCAGTCAGACACCCTTAGTGCTGCCACAGAGGCAGGAGAGGCTCCTGCTACCGCTGCTGCACTTGCCAGCCGTGAGCCCCGCTTCTGGCTGAGCAATGCTCCCCCTGTGGGAGCGCACTGACCACCAGGGGCAGCTCCTGAGTTGAGCTTCTGCCCCTTGGTGGTCAGTGTGCGTCATAGCGACCAGTCATTCTGCCATTCAGTCAATTTGTATATTAGCCTTTTATTATATAGGACAGGACAAACTACTTGGTTATACTCCCTTTCCCGGGGCAAGTGTCTGCTTATCTTAGAGGGCTTCCTGCTGACTTTGGAGCCAACCAAGAAAGCCCTCGGTTTCTGTTAGGTGTTTCTGCAGCCCCTACATGCCAGTGTACGGAGCATGAGCATGCAGATTGGCAGTGATAGACAGGTGACAGAAAGATAAGTCTCTTCTCTTTGCTGGGGCAGGGCCTCTCCTGAACCCAGGCCATAGAGCTCTGAGGGTTGACATTCCAGCAGGCTAGTATGCAAGGGTCTCTCTGTAGCCACTGCTCACTCGTGGCTGCCTAAGAATTACTTGTGTCATATAATCTTATTCTGACCAAGAAGGGTGAGTGCAGCCAAATGAAACAGAAGGGGAGTATGAATGAGTCAGTCAGGTGTCACTGTCACCAAAAGCCAGAGTCAAGCACAACAGAAGGCTCCAGACTCTGAGAACATGAGCTGCACGTGCACAAGCGTGCTGACCGTGCACAGTCCTGAGTCCCAGGCACCTGCATGCCTGACCTTCATGGGGCTAGTCTCCCCACCCTTCGCCAGAGCCTGGTCAGAACTTAATGCTCCTTTAGTGCTCACAAGACTGTTACGATTTAATACAGATAAAGCTTAGAACAGGAGAGCCCTGGGAAAACATTGTGCAGACAGAGGCACCCCTTCTCTTACACCATTCTGTTAGTTCCACCCAAATAAGGGGACATAGGAAACTGCTCTGAGGGTCCTCAGCAGACACTGAAGGACATGCCCTCCTCCACCCTCTGGCCTGCGAGGGCCCGTGACCCAGATGCTGCGAGAGGCAAAGGCCTGGCCCGGATGGACCCTCCATTTACCATGGGAAATTCCACCTTTGTTTGGGGACCAGAATCAGATCAGGGCAGCCGGATCCTCAGGAAGCAAACTGGGAATGGTGAATGGAGACCAAGGGAACTAACTGTGGGCTACATGGGGAAGTGGGCTTACAGCCAGAAGCCATATTCCTGGGAGGAAGCCCTCAGACCCAACAAGGACGTCTGCACGTACTCGGAGGCAAACTTGTCCAGCCTCTTGAAGAGCTCGTTCTTCACCTTCAGGTTCTCCACGATGGCCTCCACCACCAGGTCCATGCTGTGGACTACAGATGCCGCGTCTGTGTTGGTCGATATGTTGCTCAGGGTCTTCTCCACAAACTCACTGCCTGCCTGTTGCCGGGAAAGGAAGGAGACATTCACTGAGCTCACTGGAAAATGGAGTGTGATTGACTGCTAAAGGGAAGGAAAGAGGAGGGTGAGACCAGGCCCACACACCTGACACAACCTGAATGCACCTCGAGATTCTGAGAAGTAAACTCCCTATGTTCCTGCTTAGGGACAGTGGCATCTCCATGTATGTTAGGTACCAAGGCAAGAATTCAGTCTGTGAACAAGCCCAGCTGCTGGTCAACTATCACTGTCAGCTATAGGTTGTAATCTTCCAAGCTTCTGGCCAGCTCTGCTCTGGTTACTAAACCGTCTGTTAACAGCGCCTGTACTGGCCTGCTGACATCTGTCCCCAGAGTGACAGGCTGCCAGGTTCTGGTCCAGGAAGCCTATAATTTGTCCTTCCGGGGAAGGGTGAAAGCTTAGCTCAGGACCATCCGTCAGTCTGGGAGGTGGTGCTGACTATTGCCCTCTCACAGGAGGTAGGGAAGAGCTGAGTAAGAGCAACAGAGAGGGTAAGAAAGCCAAACTCAGCATTCCCCAGATAATAATCTCCCATCACAGGCCAGCAACTGGTGTTTCAAAAACATGCCAGGCACAGCCTCTGCTCGCAAGAGCTTCAAGTCCCATCTTTCCTCATCGTGACTCCAGGTCTCCACAAACAGACCTCAGGGCAGGAACAGACAGTTCTGCCATTTGGTTTCAAAATGTAATTTGCCCATGGACATCGAAATGGTCATAATCAGCCAAGGCTCCCAAATCATCACTGAACAGCTAACTCTCAGAGCTGTTCAAAAGAAACATGAAGTGAGAGGACAGGTCACTTTTAAATTTCCATTGGCTGCATTTTATAAAGTGAAAACAGGTAAAATTTTTATTGAACCCAATATATTGAAGATATCATTTCAAAATTAATCAATATTATAAAATTTTAGATGCTTAATATTAGGTTAATACAGTACATCAACCAGACAGGCTCAAGATGACACGTCCATCTCAGAGGATGTCTCTGGCAGAGATGAGAAATGTCAGGAGACTGGATTCCTTCGGAGTGACTCTTTGGGAGCTCAGCTACCTGGGCACAGGGGCATTTATTTACACGCAGGACGGGGCTGAGTCTCTGCCCACTGAGGACAGTCTGCAGAGTAAACAAGTAAAATATGCAGGTTATCGATCTGGGTTCAAACTCACTCTGAAAACTAGATCCACTCTGTCCCTCTGATTTTTAAAAGGTGATTAGATATTAAGAAAATGCAAACCCAAAAGATGAGATACCACTTTCACACCTCCTATGATGGCTTTTATGAAAAAAAGGAAGGAAGGAAGGAAGAAGGAAGGAAGGAAGGGAGGGAGGGAGGGAGGGAGGGAGGGAGGGAGGGAGGGAGGAAGGAAGGAAGGAAGGAAGGAAGGAAGGAAGGAAGGGAGGGAGGAAGGGAGGAAGGGAGGAAATAACAAGTGTTGGCCAGAATGTAGAGTATCTGAAACTTCCGTACACTGTTGGTGGGAATGTAAAACAGTGCAGCCATTATGGAAACCGGATAGGTGATTCCTCAAAAAACCAACAGGATTGCCATACAACCCAGCAATTCCATTTCTAGGTACATAACTGAAAGAACTGAAAGAGGGACTTGAACAGATAGTATACTGATGTTTAGTGTAGCATCTACACTAATAAAAGAGAAACATGGTAATTAGCGTATGACCGCTACCCTTCCCATTGGCTAATCAGCATATCCTTATGCAAATTAACTGTCAGCCAAGATGGTGGCTGGCAGCCATGCACTGAAGTGAACAGGGAAGCTTGCTTGCTCCAGTGATGGCTGACTCTAACCTTCCCCGCACTTGCCCGCCTCTCAGCTGCAACTCTAAGCAACTATGTACTATGTGGCAAATAAGAAGCTAAACAAAACCCCAGAAACTGGCTTTCAGTCAGCCAGGTTCAGCCAGCCGGACCGCAACATTGTATCAAATACAGAAGGAAAAACAAAGGCCAGAAACCGGCTTTCAGCAGCCGAGGCCTCAGAGCTAAAGCTGGCCCAGACTAAAAAAAAAAAAAAAAGAAAAAAAGGAGCTGTTGGGAGCTTTAGTCACCCGCCAGCCAGAAAACGGCCCTCAGCCCCTCACCCAGACTGGCCAGGCACCCCAGTGGGGACCCCCACCCTGATCCAGGACACCCTTCAGGGCAAACCAGCCGGCCCCCACCCGTGCAACAGGCCTCTATTCTATATAGTAAAAGGGTAATATGCCTCCTGGCACCAGGATCAGCGTGACAGAGGGCAGCGCCCAAACCCCCTGATCGCCCTGTGGCTCTGTGTGTGACAGGGGGCGGGGCCACAACCTCCCTATCCGCCCTGCTCTGTTCCTGACAGGGGAAGGCGCCCCAACCCCCTGATCAGCCCTGCTCTATGCCTGATAGGGGGGAGCTCCCCAATCCCCTGATCGCCCTGAGGCTCTGTGTGTGACAGGGTGCTGTGCCCCAACCCCCTGATCTGCCCTGCTCTGTTCGTGACAGGGGAAGGCGCCCCAATCCCCTGATCGCCCTGCGGCTCTGTGTGTGACAGGGGGGAGCTCCCCAACCCCCTGATCGCCTTGCGGCTCTGTGACAGGGGGGAGCTCCCCAACCCCCTGATCGGCCTGCGGCTCTGTGTTTGACAGGGTGCGGCGCCCCAACCCCCTGATCGGCCCTACTCTGTGTGTGACAGGGTGCGGCGCCCCAACCCCCTCCCCCCCAGGGGACCTGCTCTGTGTGTGACAGGGTAGAGCCATAACCTCTCCATCGGCCCTGCCCTGACTGTGACAGTGGCGGCGCCCCAACCCCCTGATCGCCCTGCTCTGTGGGTGATAGAGGGTGGCGCCCCAACCCTCCTCCACGGCCTTGCTCTGTGTGTGACAGGGTAGAGCCATAACCCTCCCCCATTGGCCCTGCCCCTGAAGTGAGAAAGGGGGCAAGCCCCCCCAACCCCCCCTGATCCCCTCCTGCCTTTTTGTGATGAAAGGGGGGGGGTGCCCCCACCTCCCCTTATCGGGCCCTACCTCTGGGAAGGAGGAAGGGGGGGAGCTCC